CCCTGTTGTTGTGTCTGTGTTTCCCAGCTCCATTTTCTGAAAAAAACAGCATAAAATACTTGGAGAGGTACATGGCTTAGTGCCTGTATTGCAGTTGGGGCTCCTTGTGTTAAGATACACCTTTTTAATTTAAAAAAAAAAGGTGTTTGACTGCGTTGGGCTTAATTGTGCAGTTTCCAAAAGATTGAACTCTAATGGAACTCCTGCTTTGCCTGAGTGTGGGCAGGAAAGCCAAAGTGCTTGGTGTGAAGTGTCTGGTCTGCACAGTGGAACAGGAACATGTCGCAGGGCAGGGTTACTGGTAGGATTCAGAGGAGGGATTTGAAGGAAGCCAGGCAGTAGTTTGTGCTGCCTGGGATGAGTGCTTGCTTGGAGTGGGAAAAGATAAGGCTTCAGCTTACATATAGCACAACCTTGAATCTGGTTCACCTGCATCCCCATTGCAGGCTCTGAAGTCTGTGTTCAGAGCCATGGGGGGGGAAATCTGTGTGCTCAGAGTAGGCTGTGGTGCTGTGAGAGCCCCTGCACTCCAAGGTGTAGGAGTAGGGACAGCTGGAGTGCCCTGGGTGCCCACGGGAGTGTCCTGCACATACACCCCTCTGGCCATGTCTGACCTGTGCTGAGGGGGGAGCTGCAGTTTGAGCCTGCTGTCTGCAGTGTTTATACTTCTAAAGCTCTGCAACAGTAGTGGCATAAAAAGATGTTAGATAATGCTTCAGATTGTTGTCCTTGATCCTCTTTTCCTGGGGGCAGGATTAGGAAGGGAAGCCTAGGCCTGAAGTTAAGCTACTGCTGAGGAGCCAAGCACCCATGGTGACATCTGGAAAGCAACTGGATGGACACTGCCTTTCTAGGAAAGTCTGGCCACTGCGGTCAGTCCTTTCCCTTTTTTTAGGAAATACTTTTGTGAAGTCAGTCTTATTCCAATGCCCTCTCTTCAGTAAACTTATTTTCTCCCTCTCTTAAGGCAAAGCAGAGAGCAGAGGTACTTCAGTCCACCCAGAGATTCTTTTCTGAGCAGCAGCAGCAGCAGAGCAAACCCATAGGAGGCAAAGGCCAGAAAGTGGAGGAGAATGGAAGCAAACCCCCCGAGGCAATTGCTGACTCCTCAGGAGTCTGCCAGGACAAAACCGAGGAGAAGCCCACGCCTGCACCCGCTGCCACACCGAAACCTGTCAGAACTGGACCAATCAAACCTCAGGCAATCAAAACCGAGGAAACTAAATCTTAGAGGCTGTGTTCCCGTGGAGGGGGGCAGAGGGGAGGGTGGGCGAGGTGTCAGCAGCATGAGTTTGTGGCCTGAAGGCCGAGGCAGCAGCCTGCTCTCCCTGCAGGGCTCCGAGCAGCCTGAAGGGGCACAGGAGCCGTCAGCAGTCACAGGTGCAAACTGCTGGGTGTCCAGCTGAGCTCCTGGGCTCTGGGGGTTTGTGTCTCCTCTGACAGCATGAAGGCTGCTCTCGGCGTGTGCACGTTCCACACGTGTGCGCGTGTTTTGGCTTACACACCTTTTGCTCCCCACAGTGAGAAACATGGAGAAGTGGCAATGGCAGGGAAGAAGGTGGTGGGGAGGCATGTTCCTGGCTGACACGATGACTTCTCTTATTTTCTTCAGGCTCTGATCTTCAGCTGCTATTTATCTTTTTATAAACCCATGAGTATGACAACATGCAGTTCTGAAGATGGTGCTGGGCCAAGTAATGTGTGTTAAGTTTTTAGTGACTTAAGAAGCTTCTATCTCGTAACAAACAGAGGGATCCATAGCTGGCAAAATTGCCTTTGCCACGCGAGGTCTAACCTCACGTAACACAGTGATGCTGGTGGTGTTGGATTTCCCTCTGGAGGCAGTGCTTTGCTGGCTGCTGCTGCTTGGATGACAATATTCTGCATTTAGATCACCACATGAAAACGCTACTTGGCCACCTGTGTCCTCTCCACCCGCTGCCCCCTCAGTGGCTCTCACCCCTGGAGTTGAAAGGTTCGTTGCATCAATAGTCAGGTTTGTTCCGTTCACCCCTGTCCAGGTGTCTTTCTATGATGCGAGTGGTCTCTAAACGGTTCCAGTTTCTGTCTGTGATACAGCAACGAGCACTTAAACTGTGCCACGAGAACTACAGAAACCTTACTGATTAACGAGAGTTTATCTCAAAGGTGCATTTTCATATCAGAGCTGAGTCGCACCACCTCCTTGCCCACAGTGTGCTGGAAAGTAGAATCAAGTCAAATAAATGCCTTTTTAATTGTATCCTCTAGTATTCTAGCTGTAGGACAGTACTGTATGATACTTCTGTGAATGTAAGATATCCTGTACCTGCTTATGATATGTAGTAGTGACTGTGCTATACTGGAGCTGTTTTTAATAATGTTATTCTAGAGGTTTTTTTTCCAGACAATGATTGAAAAAGCTAATAAAAAGCACCAGGTACCACATCAGTAGCAGAATTTGCTGGTTTTTTCTTGGATTTTTTTTTCCTTTTTCTTTTTCTTTTTTTTTTTTACATTTTTTGGAAGGAAGAGTTGAAAGTCTAATGTGTATAATTTTGTTCAAATGACTGCAGAAGCTGGAAAGGCTGTTGCTGCTATTGATGCCTAGTGAATCGCTATTGGTTATCTTTTTATATAAATATATATATAATTTGAATTTTTGGAAACTCTAGCTGTGATGTCAACTTTGGAAAAAAGTATCCCACTTGTAGTGTGAGTTGGCATTGTACAGAAATTAACAGCCATATTGGTCTAGAAATGTTAAACTTAATTTTTTTTCCATTTGTACAGGGGTAACGCACTGTATGAAATATGTACGGTCTTATTTACATGGGTTTGATTACAGAAACTAATAAAGTATTCTCTAAATAAAGCCCCCGGGTGATCTTGTGATTGGTGCAGCGCTGCAGAACATGATGGGAGCGCCCGGACACAGTGTGCCAAGGGAAAGCAGGAAAACACTGGAACAGCTCATTGCTGTGCCCCCAGCACTGTCACGCTCCCTCTGCAGTGAAGGTCTCCCAGGATGTGGCTTCCATCTCTCCCTGGAAGGAGCCTGATGGGTGTGGTTGCCACATGTTCCATCTCCAGCGTGTGGGAGCTGCCTGGCGCTGGTTGTTCCCCAGGGAGGAGCCGCTCGGCAGAGGAGACTGGGATGTCCCCAGCTGGTGAGTGACAACCCCCTGGCAGCACCAGGGGTAAAGGCAAGAGGTTTCCTGCCAGAGAGAGCCTTGGCCTGAGCCTTCCCAGCCCCCCTGGGATGTGGGGTTCAGGAGAGGCAGGACACTGTCAGCTGTTGCTTCCCAACCTTCTCATGTTTGGTCTCTGAGAAGTAATTCCTGCCTTGGGAGAAGGTGCTGGTTGGCTCTGCACCTCTGAAGAAAGGGCAAAGCCAGGCAGGGGGGTTGGGGGGCAGTTGGGCAGGATGACCTTTGGTCAGGGGTGTTGCTGCCCAGCCCCGCAGTGGGTTAGGAAGCAGCAGACTGGGGCCACCAGAAGAGCTGGAGCCCTGCCCAGGTTGGTGCTGTTTGGAGGTAGAACTGCAGCAATATGGAGTAAATAAAGGATTCTGTAATCCACAAACAAGCAATGGGCAGGGAGTAACCTCCAAGCAGGTAACACTGCAGGTAAATCGCCTTTTTCATAAGGATACCTATGAGCACAGTAAACACTTGGGAAAAGGAGGGGGTGGGGAACTGAGTGAATGGAGGCACTCATTTGATCTATAAATGTGCTATAAAGTTAATTGAGCTGTGCTGGTTTGAGGTTGTCTTCTGCCTGTTTCACCCCAAAAATGGGAACTCATTCACCAGAGTATTCTATTTTTAAGGAAATGCTGTTAAAAGGATTAATGTTAAATTCTGCGGTAATAAAGGAAGTAAATTCTGTGGTAACTAGGAAGTCAGACAAATTTTCCACAGCTGGCTTTGGGAATGTACCAGGCTTTGGGCTGTTTCTTGCACAGAACTGAATGAGGGTAATATTTCTGCAGAAACTTAATTAAAAGCAAATTCTTGGGCATTTTATGCCTCCAAATAACCCAATTTCAGTGTGTGTCTCTCCAAAACCCCAAACCACCCTGGCTGCCTTTGAGGCCAGGTGGAGCTTTCAGTCACTGACCCCAGTTCATCGAATATTTTTATGACATTTAATCAGATAACTTGCCCCTGGCTATTTACGCTGGAGTAGCTCTTGCTTTTTTAATTTGTGTGGGATTTGGTGTGTAATCTGTTTTCTAGGACTCTGGTCATCAGAAAGAATTGTGCTGAACCTCCCAGAAATTAGGGAACTATTTTGTTTGGGTAATTAAATTTCTTCCCCTTAATAATGTCCAGGCTGTGAAAAGACTGTAACTTTTCTCAAGGGCAGGAGCAGAAGGGGGTTAAGTGTGACTGGGCCCAGATCCAGCAACCCCCCTGGGCTCAGGCTGGCTTCTTGCTGGGATGCAGGAGGGGAGGGCTTGTTTTCCCAAAGCCTGTTAAGTAAAGCTGTGTATTCAGCACTGTTCAGCTCCAGCCCAGCTTTCTGGAAATCCTGTGTATATTGGCTTGTCTTCATTTATTTTCTTAGTCAATTAAGAGATGGACTTCCCAGCCTGAAAAGGCCCCGGGGCGGGGCGGGCCGGGGCTGTCTGCCCTCGGTGTCTGGGCTCAGCGAGGTGCTGCTGCTCCCCAGGGCTCTGCACAAACCCTGCTTTTCATCCTGGGGTCGGCTCACGCCCCCAGGGAGCTGCGGGGTGAAGGGAGGCTCCAGCCTCGCCTCCCATCCTGTTCTGGGACAGAAATGCCTTTTGCCCATCCTCACTGCCTGTCTGTCTGTGCACTGGGTGGGCAGCTCCCGGCTGGGGTGGCTCAGCACTGTGTTGGCAGGGTCTGGCTGCTGCTGCCTCGCTTTTCCTGGGTCCAGAGGGTCCCTGACAGCCCCTGCCTGCTCCTGGGTGAGCCCCAGCTTTACTGCCCCAGATCTTGCCCTGCCCACCCTCTGGCTCACAAACCCCTTATGCATAGAGCGAGTCTCACTTTTTACAGCCATCACATATTTTTCCAAAATAAAGCGTGGGGATGACACAAAAGCCAAGTTCTTCATTATGTTCTGTATGTAAATACACTTAAAACAACAGTGTGTTAGGAGGACAGCAGAGAGGTGAAACATATTGCTGACAATTACTGTAGGTGACCATCTGAAAAGTGTCCCACTGTGTTCTCTGTCCTTTCTCACTTTTTCCAACATGTGGTGTATTTCTGTCAGAAGCTGCTTCTCAAATATGGCATTTTCCTACCCAAGGCTTTACAGTTTCCCCTTAGGAAAAGAGGCTAGAAGACAAGGTGCAAGGCAGCAGCGGTGCTGGGCAGTGTTTATTGAGCCAGGACCCTTCACAACCCGTGGGGGACGTGGTTGCTGCTGCCCTGAATGCCAGGGCAGGGGGAAAGAAAAAGCCTCCTAGAAAATTTCTACAATAAATAGATAAAGCAGCATGTTTTGGACTGCTGTGGGCAGAGCTGCTGGCCCAGCACGGCCTGCAAAGCCAAAGCACGTGGCCGGGAGGGGCTGGGTGCACCAAGAGGCCACCCGGCTGCAGGATGCTCTGCCAGCACTCCTCACCCCTGCTCTCTTGGCTGCTTTCTTTTCCCCAATAAAACAAGGCTTGTGCAATGAGTGTCTGTATTCCCTGCTGCTTTTGATCCTGCTGGATGATTTTTGGAGGTGGCTGAGCTCCAGGATGCCCCTGGGCACTGGTGGTGTGGGATGCAGTGGGGTTGTGGGCTCTCTGCACGGGAGCTCTGCAGGGCTGGAGCCTGGAGACAGGATTCCCAACCTTGCAAGAGGGGATTGCTGCTCACAACCAGGGAAAGTGTGTATTTTTAGGCTGATCCTCCTGGACAGCCCCCACCACACACCCTGCCCAGCCCTCACCCTGCCTGGGCCCTCCCTGCTCCAAATTTGGGGTGGCCAGGCTGGGTGCTCCCAGAGGACACTGGAGCAGCTCAGGGCTGGGTGCTGCAGTGACCCAAGTGAAACCCACCGAGGCTGGGGAGTGGTTTCTCTGACTCCCCCAGGCTCTGGAGAAGCACTTCATTTCTCTCTGCTGCACTTGAGTGCAGAGGGGTGTTGCTGGAGGTGCCAGCAGAGACAGGCGGCCCCTCCCTCACTCGGGGCTGTCCAAGGCCGGTGCTCCCGGCCGTGCCGGGGGGAGCTGGGGAGCGAAGCAGGATGCCAAGGCACACGTGAGGGTCACAGGGGCTGAGCCGGTGCATTCCCAGCCCCGGCTCACGCCTTGGAGAGGCGCACGGGGTAGGTGACCATGTTGAAGCTGTCCCAGGCGAAGAGCTGCCGCTCGGAGGGGTTGTAGTCCAGCATGCTGAGGTAGCGGAAGCGGTTCTCGAAGGGAATGCTGAGGGCCCGGCTGGCGCCCGTGGCCGTGTCGTAGGCGAAGTTGATGGTGGCATTGGGGGCCGAGTAGCTGCTGACGGTGTAGAGGGTGCCGCAGATGAGGAAGGAGTTGGCCACCCCCCGCTTGCGGATGTTGGTCTCCCAGGTCCGGCGGATCTCCAGCGTCTCGGGGTCCAGCTTGGAGAGCACGATGGCCCCCCGGGCGCTCTCGGTGCTGTAGATCACCCAGAGCCCCGTCTCGTCCACCGCCAGGTCGATGTCGGTGTAGCCGCCCCAGGCGTAGGGGTACTGCCCGTGGTAGCCGGCGCCGGGGATCTCCCTCTCGGCCGTCACGGTCTCTCCCCGCAGGTCGTAGCGGGCCACGGAGCGGGAATGGCGGGGCTGGAAGAAGAGCCCGCCGCGGTAGACGACGGCCCCCGTGCTCTCCAGGGGCCGCGGCAGGATGTGCACCTTGGCGGGGTAGCCCCGGGCCAGCTGCTCGGCCTCCTCGTACTGGAAGAGCTGCCGCACCTCGGTGCCCACCGCGTCCACGCGCCACGTGGTGTCCCGCGTGAAGGGGGGCACTGGCTCGGGATCCTTCATCCACACGCCGTACTTCCCGGCGATGGAGTCCGCCCGGCCGAACACCACGGGCTCTCCCACCCACACGAGCTCTCCGCAGCCTGCTCAGGACAGGAGGGGAGAGAGGGGGGTCACCGCGGGCCCCTCGGCGGGGCCGGGCGGTACCCGGAGCTGGGGGTGGGGGGTACCTGAGTCCGCGCCCCCCGGGCGGCCGAGCGCCGTCTCCTCCAGCAGCCGGGACACGGGAACCTCCGTCCGCTCCGACTGCAGCTCCTGGAAGGTGAGGGGCTGCGGATCCCAGCGAGGCGCTGCAGTTTGACCAGCACAGTGTGAGCAGGGACTTGGCCAGCCCCCCGCACTGCCCTGCCTGCCCCCGCCGCCCTCGGGGCTCCGTGCCCGACCGCTGCGTCCCGGAATGCCGGTGTCTCCTCGGTCAGGAGCCTGGTGCCCCCTCCCACTGCAGCAGGGCACACCTGTTGCCCCCCCGCCCCTCCCCTCCAAGAGTGTGGTTTAATTTTCCTTCGGGGAAACTCCTAAACCTCCCTAGACTAGCGCCCCGTGTCTCCGCTCTGCTCCAGGGCAGGTGATGGGATGAGGAAGGCTCTGGCTGACAGCGCTGCTTTAGTGAGGGGAAGGGGGTGTGGTACGATGGGCTGCGATCCCCTGGCAGGGCTGAGGCCACCAGGGTCCCCAAGAGTGGGGCACAGCAGTGGGTGCCCCACATGGGGGGCTGCAAAGGGACTTGCCCAGCGCCCGTGGGGAGGCCCTGGAGCAGAGCCGGTTGGCACGGCCGCCCGGGGGTCCCGGCCCCGGCACTTACCCTTGCCGGGGGCGCGCAGGGTGTCACGGCCGGGCCCGTCCCTGCCGGGGGGGCAGCGGGTGGCTCGCAGCCGGGTGATCTCCTGGGCGCTGCTCTCCAGCCGCCTGCCCAGCTCCTCTTTCTCCCGCTCCAGCCGCCCCTTCTCCTCCTCTAGCCGAGCCTTGGCCCGCAGCAGCTCCCCGTACGCAGTCTCCAGCCGGGCGGCCGCGGCCACTTGCTGGGGCTCCCGAGCCCCCCCGGGCCCCGAGCCCCCCATTGCCCGCTCCCGGCTCTCCAGCCGGCTCAGGCGGGCGGCGAGCGCGGCCAGCTCTGCCCGCAGCTCGGGCACGCCGCCGGCAGCCTCAGGGCAGGCGGCCTCGACGGGGCTGGCCACCGTGAAGGAGTAGGTGCAGTGCCCGGCGCCGTCGGGGGCGCGGCGCAGGAACGCGGTGTCGGCGCGGCCGCGCAGGGCCAGGGACCCCCAGAGCAGCACCCACAGCCCGAGCATGGCCCCGCCGCTCTGCGCTCGCCGGGCACCGCCACCCGCATTTATAGGGGAGAGGGTCGGGGCGGCGGGGGGCGGGCGAGCAGGAATCTTCCAGATGCCTGCGGCGGCACCGGCACTGCCCCCGCCGCCTCCTCGGGGCCGCTGGCCGGGCTCGGCGGCCGCGGGGCCGTGTGCCAGGGGTGACGGCGGGGGCGAGGCGGGCGGACCTGCCCCCGCTGCGGGCGGGGAGGATCCGCCGGGCCCGGATCCGAAGCCCGCAGGGGCCGCGCGGGGATGGGAAAGGGAAGGGGGCCGAAGGAGCCGGGCACAGCCCCGCCCCCTCCCGGCGGGGCCCCGCCCCGTTCCAGCAAGCTCCACCCCGGAGTGCGGCCCCGCCCCCTCTGCAGACCCCGCCTCTTTCCCTCGCCCCGCCCATGCATCAGCAGCTCGGCGCTCGGCGCGGCGGGCGGAGCGCTGAGGCGGTCGATGTGACGGTGGCCCCTCCGCCGCACCGGCCATTTCCCGCCGGCCCGGCCCGGAGCCGAGCGCGGTCACCGCTCCGCTCCTGTCCTGTCCCTTCCTCTCCACCCATCCGGGCCCGCCGGTGCGGGTGACCCGGTCGCTCCCCGCTGCCTCCTCCAAGCATCCCCAGCCCGGCCATGCCGCCCAAATTCAAGCGGCACCTGAACGACGACGAGGTGACGGGCTCGGTGAAGAGCGAGCGGGTGAGTGCCGTCCCTGCGCGGTCGCGGCGGGCGGGTGCTGCCCGCGGGGTGCCCGGGTCGGTGCCCCGGTGTGGGTCCCTGGGCCGGGGTCCCTGTGCTGCCGCAGCCCTTTGGGGCCCGGAGCCCGAACCGCTGTGACAGCGGCGTTCGGTCAGGGAGGGGCTGTGCGAGCATCACAGCTGACCTGCGGGTTGTAAAATCAGCCACTGTAGGGGGAAAGGCTGCCCTGAGAACCTGTTGTAGTTCCTTTGCTCCATGTCTATGGCTGAGACCCCGCTGTGCTCCAGTCTCCTGCTGCTCTGCAGGGCTTGGCATGGGCACGTCCTGGCTCTTCTGTCTCGCAGCTGGCCAGGGAACTCGTGTGAAGTCGCCCTGTGCTTTACAGCTGAGTTCTTCCCCTGTTGCCAAGGTCCTCTGACGTTCCAGGCAGTGGATACGGGTCACAGTGGTGCAGTTGCCTGTGTTAGACAAAGCAGGTTTAACCTGATGTGTTTGTCCTGGGGTCACACTGTGCTAAAACTCAGTTTGGACCGTGGTCTTAAGTGCTGCTGCAGCTCACAACAGCTGTCAGTGAGATGAGGATCCCGAGTTCCAAGAGCACTTTGCTCATCCTTGCGGGAAGCAACGGCTGGAACTATTGTGTGGTCCCACGGGTTGCTTAAGTTGATTGAGGAAATGTGGCAAGGATGGAAATGTAGGGGAGCTTTGAAATAAGATCATCAGGCTTGCAGGTGGGGGCCTGAATTTGTGCACAGGAGAAGCAGCAGCTGTTGGTACCTCAAGGACCACCGCTGTGTCCCTGGGCCCATGCCTTCAGTGTGGCATTTCCCTCTGTTGACTATTTCTGACCCTGAACAGATGTTTCAGGGAGCCCTGAGCTCAATTTGTAAAACCTGTGCTGCCCTGATAGGAGAAACAAATTCTAGTAAATGTCTTTGTCTGAAACTGTCAGGCTTCAGTGGGATTGCTCTTAAAAATCAGCCTTTGGACCATCTAATGGGATCACCAAATCTGAGTGGAGCAGAGGAGCTGTCAGACCACTCTGCTTCCCTGCCCAGGGAGCCCAGTGTGTTTCCTTGTGCTTACACCTGCTCCTATCAGATGGCTGGAGAAACCATGTCCTCCAAAGCCAGTGTGGATCTGACTTCCCGCATGGATGGGATGGTGCAGGGTGGCTGTGGGCGGCGCTGATGTTTTTGGTGGCAGGGCTGGGGACTGTCCCTTGAGCAGAGAGGGCCTTCCTGCAGGCAGAGGATGCTGATTGCATCCTGAGAGCTGGAAATGTGTGTGACATGGTGGTTGCTTATTGTTTTTAATGTGTTTGCAGAGGAACCTGTTGGAGGAAGACTCAGATGAAGAGGAAGACTTTTTCTTGTGAGTTCCTGAACGGCTGCTGTAGGGAATACCACGTCCTGCCTGCCTGCAGCTCTGGGACTGGGAATCAAAACCTTTGATTCCTTTGGGATGATCTCCTAGAGCCTTGGCATTGAGCATGAATTAAATCTTAATAGGTGTGACCTTTTGTAAGGTGGGGTGTCCCACGTATCCTCAGACATGGGAGGGACTCATGGGAGCTATGAAAACAATCCTTCATCCACAAGGCGTTGGTTCTCTCTTGTGCATCTTTTGAGTCTCGTTTAAAAACATGTTTTCATTGTATCCTCCATCCTGACTGATCTTTTCTGCCTGCAGGAGGGGGCCTTCTGGACCCAGGTTTGGACCCAGGAATGACAAGATCAGGCAGTAAGTTGTTGTTCCTCAGTGTCACACAGATAATTTATTCTAGTGCTGTGAGCCCCTGCTGCTGTCTTACCAAAGTATTTCTGTGTAGTTCTTAGAAGGAATGTTCCTTGTGCCTGCTTTCTTCTAATTGTTATGTCCTACCCTATGTGCCCACAGCTGAAGGAAATCTGAATTTGATGCAAGGTGTCAAGAAGTTGAGCACTGACAGAGACAAAGGGAAAAGATGATATCCACTGTAGTTTAGTGGAGTTTCTGAAGCCCTTGCTGGGTTCTGGTGGTGAGCTGTTCCATGCTTTTGTGAGGCTCTTTTTCTAGAGCCCTGAACTTTAGCCTTCACTAGCACAACTTTTTATTGTTTTGTGGCTTTTTTCCTTCATCCTGTAACATGGTCCTCAATGTTTCAGGAAAGCAGTTGGGCAGGAATGCACCAGCACTGTGTTTTTTGGGCAGCAGCTGGTCCTCTGGCCTCTTCCCCAGATAAAAACCTGATAGAGGTGACCTGGAGATGAGCAGTGACTCAGTGGGGCAAAGCAGCTGGAAAACAGGAAACCATTACAGGAGGAGGATTAGGGCAAGAAGGGAGGAGTGAACACTCTGGATCCTCCTCCCACGGAGTCATTTCATGGATGATGCTTGTTCAGGGCTCCAGTTTTCCCTGCCCTTTCCTATGAGGGGTGAGGTGGTGGTACTTAATTAAGAGTGGGAGGATATTCTCAGCCCCCTGGTTTGTGTTGCCCTGTTTCCTTTGCTGGTCTCTGTGGAGCCAGAACAGAGCTCTGTGTGGGGCCTTATGACTGGGCTGTTCAGACTGGGTCTTGTTTGCAGCCTGAGTGTGGCTCTTCGTGAGGGATGTTTTCCATGCCAGGAAGATGCCAGCACAGCTCTGGGATGACTCACTGCCAGTGTCAGCATCAGGCAGTGCCTGTCTGTGCCCGCTCGCCACGTTACCTGCAGGGGCGAAGGGCACTCAAGATACACGACAGGCAGTGGGCAGGTCACTGTGCCCTGAGTTTTCAGGGGTCTGTCTGCCCTCCAGCATGTGAGGAGACTTGGTAGAGGTGAACTGATCCTTGGAATAAGCCAGAGTGGATAAAGTCTGCTTTCTAGGGCACAGCCAGGCTGACTGGGAGTAAATGAGGTAGAGAGGGGATAATGTCTGCCCCTTCATCCTCCTCTGCTGGAAAGGAATTGCAGTATCTTCTGCCTTCCCTGTGTGCTGGGGAAAAACAGGAGCTCTTCTCTTCCCACAGTTTTGGCCTGGCAGGCAGGAGCGTGGGCTTAGGCAGAGGATGGCACTGCACCTGTGGAGAGGAAGGAAAATGAAAGAGGCGTTCAGCCAGGAACTGGTGGGTCCAAAGGTGTGGTGTGACTCATGCCCAACACCCCTGAGACTTGCCCACTGCCAGAGATTGCCTGGATAGTGGACCTGGAATGGAATATGTCCCTTGGGGTAGCAAGTGGCTACGTCTATTCAGTATCTAGAACATTTATTATAGAACAGTGTTTATTTTCTGCTCTCATCAATGCTGACTGCTTTGTTTAATAAGCACGTGTGCCATGCACTCATCGCTTCTCGTCATGGAGCTCATTATTACGTTTCTGATCTCGTGCCGATGAATCGATGCCTGGTCTCTTGGGGAGCCAGTTTGCTCTGGTTTCAACAAAGAAAAGGTTGGGCAGCTGCTGAAAAACTGTAAGCAAAAGACATTTTAAGGAGGAATTTGAACATTTGGAGAGCTGAGGCATAGCTGGGCAAAGCTAGAGAGGCTGTAGCTGTACAGGGCTGGAGGATCAAAGTGTGAAGACAGGCGTAAAAGGAAACTGGATGGAGGACTTGGGAGAGGAAAGAGTGATGGGAGCAAAGGTGTGGAACATGTTGAATGTGAGGGTCAAGGCTGAAAATTTTTCCTAGTTGTCCTTGGCAGTAAAAGGTCTTGATTCAGGGTGGAGTTTGGTGGCAGAGACCCTCAAGGCTGGCTCAGCTGTGGGGAACACTGCAAACTTCGGAGGGGAAAGAGGTGAATTACAGTCGGCAACAGTGGCAGGAGGAAGTGTCAGTCCCCTCCATGCTGTGTTTCGTCCTGATGTGTCTGGAAGCTGCTTGGTTAGGGTGGACTCTCCTCTGGTAACTGAGAGGCCACATGGAGTCACTTGGGCTCCCTCTGAGATCTCCCATCCCTGGGGTGGGCAGGAACTGAAAGGCGGCTTTTAATAGGCTTTTATCCTTTTCCCCAAAGTTACCAAGAGGTAAGGGAAAGCTGAACTCCTTTCTTTGCCTTTCCTGAATGTGTGTGTGAGAGCTCTTAGTGCCTTTTCAGGGGAAGTGGGGTGTTCATCTTCCACCTGCCCTTCTTTTATTTAGAAAAATAGCATCTAATCACAGGCCATCTTTTCAAAAGCACCACTAAAATCACCCCCTTTTCTGCACTGCTTGATTTGTTTCATTGCTGATGTTTGTGCTCTCTGGAGACTGCTAGTGCTGGTGCTGAGGCTCAGCACACTGCTGAGGTATCCCAGGAGCCAGGTCTTGGTCCCTGTGATTCCCTTGTTGTTCTGCTGGGGGTGACCAGCATCCCTGGCCCCAGGGCTCGGCTTTGGTGGCTCTGTCTTTCTGCAGGCCCTGAGGAAGGGGAGAGTTTGAGGAATGGTTTGAAGGCAAGAGTTGACAGCAGCTTCCCAGGGCCTGGCTGTTCATGGCAGGTGGCTGGTTGTGCAGTGGGCCCCAGCCACAGCGCAGGCTTTCATTTGGAGGTGATACCGAGACCATGTTTATG